AAATCATATCAGGAGAATGCGGCCAGAAAAATACCTGGAAGCCTCGGCAATCTGAGGTACTAGGGCAGTAAGAAGATCCTGAAAAAAAACCCCCGCCAACCGCCTAACCCTGACTGTCAGTAATATGTGTACCATCCCATCAGTCAACCTGAGGCGGTTCAAACTGCCTATGGTCAACGACTTATGAAAGAACTTGTATTCTGATCCCCTAAGTGCAACCACTGAACACGAGACCGCTGCTTAAAGAAAGCTCCTCATCTCGACAAAGACTGAAATACTGGTTGGCAAGGTTCCTCTCCTCGAGATACACTCAGTAGAAAGGGTCCCGATCCAAATTTCCCTGGGCTGTTGCCCACCGAGCCGAGCCCCAATTACCCTGCGGAGATATGACTGAAACCAATATTTAAAGCTTAGCTTCCGTCACTCCCAATTTCTGCGTAAGACGAAATGGCCTAAAGAGGCTCGTCCCAAACACCTGAACAATATCCCTAATTTGATGATGCCCAAAAATTTAGAAATTTAAAAGGGGATGGTACCTTGCCACGGCGGACCAAACGGACGAAATAGAGCTATGATCTGAAACATCTCGAGTCGAACTCTGAAATGTGCTTGGTCGATCAAGGAACCAAGAAAGGGATGCAAAGACCCAATCGAGCTTCCGTAAATAAACCCATCGCCCTGTTGACCGTTATGCCAAGATAACCGAGCCATAGTAAAGGAACCCCAATCAACTCACATCATGGATACATTGGCCAAAATCATCCATAACCATACCACGCGGATCACCACCCACTCTGTCAGAGGCTCCCAAGATGGCATTAAAACACCCAACACAAGCCAGGGAGCCCCTCTGAATCAAAACGCTACCGCCTAATCCCTAGAGAGATCCCCAGATTGCGCGATTCAGGGTCATTAGAACCATACACAAAGTAATCCAAATGAGAACCTCAAAAACATGTATACCCCTGCAAGTAATCTCCTGAAGAGAGCAATGAAACATGCACATATAAAAAGAAGAGTCCACATACCAGAACACGGCAAGCAATAGAATCTGTCGATTGGATAAAACTAGCCACGAAGGACAAACAGACGGACCACTGACTGTAAAGAGACTGCTCACCTTAGTCTCCAACAAACCAATCAAACCCAAAGAAGATCAGAAATCCATTCCGCACAGCCTTGTTTCGAAAGCCGTTAAGCCTCTAATATTCCAACTCCCTATCATTGGAATTGGGATAGAAACAAGCTAAGAAATCACTTGAGCGAAGCCCCCGCTTTCCCCACCTATCCCTTTGCCAGGGGTGGCAAGGAAACTATCCAGATAAGGTGATCTGGTGTCTGGAGATCTCACTATGCAAACAAGCGAGGCAAACCTGTTGGAGAGGTAGATTGCCTACTCCCAGAATCATAAGGACTGAGTGTTTTCTGGCAATTTTAAATCCCTATACGGTCTTGCTCATCCTCAATAGGAAAGGGGAATCAGGTTCCGACCCCATTCACCCAAAAATTCCATCTGCTCACGAACAGTCGCTGATACGGGACCAACCAAAGAAACATCCCCAACTCTAACTGTACTCGGAACTGAAACTGTAATGGCACTAAAACACCTCTCATCCCCGTCTCTCTCCCAGGGATCAATAGTGGCTGGCTGATTCAAAGCTCCATGTCTCGATTGCACTCTTCCCTGGTGCCTTCTGAAACTAGTAACTATCTTATTCTTACCTGAGCTATGGCTGCAGTATGTACCTCTGGTGTGCAAACATGACAAAACCCAGCATTTAGGCACTCTTAGGGTCCTCATATTCCACTGAATCTAATAGGTCTGCAGATAACCGCACTGAAATTCAATATGTTCTAGAGGCTTTGTAGCATCTAGCTCAACACATACCCGAGCATAATCCAAACGTCCGCTCTATGTTGTCTTATCACTAACAACGGTCGACCTAACATAGAGGAACCCATGCAGATCTTTGTGGGACCACAAAGGTATAGGAAACCATGGCAAACGAGCCCATACCGAACTCTAAGATCGGCTTTTATCAAAGTAAACTGAGCATGCCATTTTGCAGAATATACACTTACCCCCAAACATCCACGGCCCTCTCTCAAGGATTGAATGCACCGCATCCTCATCCTAAATCGAAAATGTAAAGAAGCCAGTACCTGTGGACATAACATCTTCCAACCCGCAGCTTCCATGCACGGAAAGCAATTGAGCGACAGCATGAGGCATAGAATACCCGGGAATAACCCACAATACAGCGAAGCCATTCAACCATTGTCATCAATAACATCATCCGGTATATGTAAGATTCACCTTATATCAGGTCCACAGCTTCAGGGTGAAATGGGACCCGACTCTGTCACTCTACCCTTGTCCGCCCAAGGAGGACCATTTGATGTCTTTTTTCCCATACTTCTTCTGCTTCTTTGGCTTAGGGACTGGCTTTTTTTCACGGGCTTAGAGATGCCCAATTGCTTGAAACCTTTTTAGACTTCGCATTTTAAGCCATTAAAGATGTAAAGACAAACCTGCAGTATCATTAGAATCAAAGTCAAGAAAACCAAGGAGAGTTTTTGTGATGAAAACCTGGCTCCTTGAATCGCCACATTTGAGAAAAACGGATAACAAGTACTTGTCATCCATCCATGGCTCCAAATCCCCAATCCATAAAGATTTTCTCGAATTCCCGGAAGGCTGGGAGCTGGTTGAGGCAGTGTTTAATGTTTTGGCTTGGGTTGGGGGCAGCACGGTGTTATTTGGGTGTGAGGGGTTTGGTTCGGACATTTTGTTGAACACTTGGTGGCAGGAAAAAAATGTTTGATTTTGGTGAGTTTAAGAGTTTGTAAGAGCGGGGATTTGTGAATCAGTGGTTAGGGTGAAGAGGTTTTGGTGTTGGAAGGTTGAATGTGGTCGGGAGGGCTAAAAGGGAAGGGTTGGGCGCTAGGCACGCTGGGGTGCTGGTCGTGCACACTGTGCGCTGTGAAGCTGGCGGCGCGCGCGCGCGAGTGTAAGGCTGCTGCAGACTTTTGCCAAACACCTTGCGTGCGTGATCAAAACTCGATCAGAATGCAACCAAATTTTCCACGAATCTGTAAAATCAAAAACCAGCAAGAAACCAAGAAGAAAAAATTGCAAAAAATCACAAAAAAATCACACCAAAACAGGTCCACGAAATGGCATAAAAACCCAACCCAAACCACACATTCCCGCAAAAAAACAGTGGGTTTTTCCGGTAACCAGAGGTCAACAAGGTGCAAAAATATGTGGGGATTGTCGATCTTGCCTGGATGAGTCAGTATTGGCACTCCATTGCAATTCCCGATTGAAAAAACCCACTGCGAAGAAAATCTAGATGTACAGTTTTCGTCAAATTCGACGGACAAATCCCGACAACCAAGACCTCGAAACTGGGCAGTGACGGAACCAATAGAAAGAGGGTTGAACAAGCTTTCCAAAGGTGGTTTGATTGCCGGATTCCGATGCCAGACGCGCCAGGAATAAGCCGCTAAAGTACCGGCCGCGACCACGAGTTGAGAGAAAAACACTTTAAAAAAATTTCGTAAACCCTAACCATAAACCCTAACCCCTAAACCCTAAACCCTAAACCCTAACCCCTAACCCCTAAACCCTAAACCCTAAACCCTAACCCCTAAACCCTAAACCCCGAACCCCGAACCCTGAACCCCGAACCCTGAACACCTAACCCTGAACCCTGAACCCCAAACCCCGAACGCCGAACCCTGAACCCCTAACCCTGAACCCCTAAACCCCAAACCCCAAACCCCAAACCCTAAACCCTTAAACCCTAAACCCTAAACCCTAAACTTTTTTTTTTTTTGGATAAGGTAAGTATGTATAAAAGACCAAAAATGTACAAATACGAGGGCCATACCCCAAGAGGATGACTGATAACTCTCAGTCAAAAACCCGTGGGAAAACCCACAAAGTCACAAACAGCATAAAGAGAGCGCGCAAGCTCCCCACAAAGCAAGAAGATGCCATAAATAACAAGCCACAAACCGGCATAAAAGAGCACGCAGGCTCAACACAAACACAAAGCCACAAACTGGCACAAAAGAGCACGCAGGCTCCTTACAAAGCTAATCAGGAAGATGCCATATCACACGGAGCTGAGTCGAGATCTCGTACTTAGGTGCTAGACCCAAAATCTTGGCCCGAATTAGATCACAAATAGCTAAGACAATATCTCTATAAGAGCTACAATGCTGACGAAACACGCGATTATTCCGTTCAAACCATAGGAAATAAACTGTGGCTGAAAGGACCAACCGGGAAAGAAGGTGGCTGAAGTCACCTTTTCGTCAAAGATGCAAATAGCCTACTGAAGCAGAGGGAGCCAGGAAAAAGTAGGCCATGTAGAGAGCGTCCTGGTAGTGACCTCCCGCCAAACATAACTGGAAAAGTCACAGCTGAAAAACAAATGGTCTTGGGTCTCTGTAGCTGATCTGCATAAAACACACCGGGAGGATGTAATGAAACCATGAGAGCTGAGCCGGTCCATGGTGTGAAGCTGACCAAGAGAAGCGAGCCAGAGAATGAAAGAGTGGCATGGAATATGCCCGGGAAACCACAAGAGATGATGAATCGAGTTCACATCCTGTTTGTCTCGCAACACATTCCAGGCTGAATCAATAGAGAAACGTCCAGACGAATGGCCCTTCCACACAAGATGATCAGGGTGACTCGCTAAAGGCTGCACTGTAATAGAGTCCCAGATATGCTATAGGTCTGCATTGCCTGAAGGAAAGTCTCACAAACCATCCTGAATAATGTCTGAAACCCGAGCATCCCATGGCAAACCAGTGGAAGTCAAGGTTCTAAAAGGGAGCAAGTCACACAGAGGACCCTGCGGAAGCCAGTGATCTCGCCATAACATGGTGTCCCTACCATCTCCAATACAAGTCACAATAAGACCCCGACACCAAACCCTACTAAGTAAAATCTTCCTCCAAGCCCATGAAGCCCCAGAAGTAACTCAGATATGCCAAAAGGACCGACCACGGAGGAGAACCAAACGGGCCCAAGAAGACCATATAAAAGATCTATTAGTAAGCAGCCTCCAAACGTGTTTGAGAATAGCCGCCCTATTCCAATCTTGGATCCTCTTAATCCCCAGGCCACCCTTTGTCAATGGATAGCAAACAGAAGACCATGCAACCTTAGCACTAGAAGGGGACAAAGAAGTACCCTTCCAAAGAAACGAGGCCAAAATACTCTCGATCCGTCTAACTGTAGCTGCCGGCAAAAGAAACATGGAGGACCAATAAACCTGTATGGAGAAAAGTACCGACTTAATCAACTGTAGTCAGCCTGCATAGGTCAAAGATGCCGACGTCCATAGCCTAATCCGAGAGAGAATTCGCTCCAACAGAGGCCTACAATCAGAATGTCGAAGGCGGGTAGAGATTAGAGGAACCCCTAGATATCTTACCGGTAACTGGCCCAACTGGAAACCCATGATAGACTGTAACCCAATCTGCTCCTCATCTGTAACTCCAGAAAGAAACAACTGGCTCTTCTCTGCATTAGTCACTAATCCAGAAACCTTAGCAAAATAATCCAAGGCCGATTTGATCAAGCTAACAGGGGAAGCATCTGCTCTACAAAACACCATCAAATCATCCGCAAAACACAAATGAGTAAAAGCTGCCCCCCTACATCTCCAATGATACTGAAAACCAGGGCTGTGAGAGGTTTCCCGAAAAATACCAGCTAACCCCTCCATAGCCAACACAAAATGGTAAAGAGAAAGAGGGTCCCCCTGCCGCACACCTCGGGAGGACCTAAAAAAATCGTGAAGCTCTCCATTCAGGGCAACAGAGAAATACGATGTAGAGATACATGCCATGATCCACCTCACCATACATGAAGAGTGGTAGAGATGGAGAATGAAAGCATGGATTCTAAAACCAGTTTTCAAACAAAGCTTGGAAAAGAGATTATACCTACTCCTTTGCTTTGGATTGATGAAGATTAGCTTCAAAAGGAAAAAACCTCCACACTTTAACACCACCTTGAGAGATTAGAGAGTGGCCTTGGGTTTGAGAGAGAGTTTTGGTTTGTGTTTTTGTGAACTAGTCAAGAATGAACAAAAATGCAACCTTTTGCACTTATATATACTTGGGCAATATTGCAATTATTTATTTTTCACTTCCAAGCCCAATAAAATCTTATTTTATAAAGGGACCCCACGAATTTAATATGCTACCCTTTGAATAATCAATATTATTCAAGGGCCCATGTAAACTAAACTAGTTTACATTAACAACCCAAAAAATTTACCCCTTTTTACCCTTATACTATTAAAGGTATTTTTTGTTCATCTTATATCTTAACACTTTAAGATATAATAATAATATGATTATTATTGCTTGACCATTTTAACCTCAAAATGTCACAAATGATTCTATGTAACTATACTATAGAAATCCCGTTATTTACCCTCGAAAGGTGCTAGCCCCTTCGGATAATCATTTCTCTCTTCATCACTTCTCTAACTTCTCAGGCTATTGGTGTGACCATGTAGGTCCCCGCGGATTAGCCGTGGAAGCAGTCTGGATGAATCTGGGAACTGTCCGAGGCCCAACGACTATGGTAACATCTAGCAGATGTGCCATAGTCCCTAAACCACGATGAAGAAAATCTTCATCGAACCCATTTCGATCATACGTACCGCAGGTAAAGTCCCTCATTGAGATATCCTAATCGAGTATGGATTCATGGAACGTCAAAATCCTAAACTCGTCTTTACCAAATCGTCGATCAATATATCCGAACTTGTCATCACAAACTTACTTTGTTATAGATAATAATAGACTCTGGCCAGAGATTCAGTTTTCCGACATTTATCGATGTTCGTCTAGGAACTCGAATCCGGATGGAGTCAGCGATACTCCCGATCCTATATTTTCGAGTCAATGGATCCCGTCTTGCCATCGTTCCTTTCCACATATGAACAACGCATAACCAAATAAGCTTTATTACAAACATGATTAGTCTCGTACTTATACATCGTATGAACCATACGCATCCATATCGGATCCGACGACAATGTCTCAGGTCAAAGGACTACATCGTGCACTATATCAACCAAACGATAAATCATTGACTACATGCTTTGCCAAGTGATTGTCATTATCGGTCACGTTCGAAAACAGTTCACCAACCGTTAATCCAACCCTATCCCCATGACATGACTATCATTGTCATCCGTACTTATATCAACTCATGATATCTTTCAGAAGCATCTGGTATGCCTACTGTGCAATATAGTTGCCCAAATTATTATTGCTTTCGTAGGGAACCCTTTTCGATAATTCATTATGTGATTAAATGAATCATCTGACACATTCATAGCATACTTTATTTTAATGCATGACTGAATAAAGGAAGCAATTTACATATATGAATTGAAGAACTCTTTCTTCTATTATTTATGATATTATATATAGATACAACAAAAATGCTCTGAAACTGACAACACGAATGGTTTCTAGAGCATACACTATATACACTAACACCATACGCTCAGGAAACCCACAGTACGCAATCCCAAAGGATGAAATCCCAACACAGTATCAAAAGCTTTCGAATATCACTTTAAGGGCACATCGAGGTGAAGTACCCCAAGATGATAATTCGCAAAAAGCTCTGTCAGCAAAATATTATCAAATCCTTCACCCAGGACAAAAGCAGACTGGGACCCCAATAATATCCAAGGCAGCACAACTTAAAACCGATTCACAATCACCTTAGAATGCACTTGTAAAGTACATTACAACAAGATATCGGCCTAAAGTCTGTCATGACGCTCGGCTCTACTACCTTAGAACCAAAGCAATCCTGTGGCATTAACAATCTCGGCATTTCATTAGTAGCAAAAATGCCGAGCTGCATCCCTAAATCTTACCAATATATCCCATGCCTGCTTAAAAACAAAGTGGAATCCATCTGGCCGGGGTTTATCATCCGGATAGAGAACAAAGCAATCCTAATCTCATCATCAGTGATAGGAGCGCAATCGGAGAGAAACATATCGAAAGGAAGTGGGCCAGAAAAATACTGAGAAGCCTCTCCAATCTGAGGTTGACTAGGGTATAAAGAAGATCCTAAAAAAACACCCACACGCCAAACGCCCTAAAACCTGACTGTTAGTAATATGGAGTACCACTTTCCCATCAGTCAAACCGGGATGCGGTTCCGAACCTGCCTATGGATCAACGACTTATGAAAGAACTTAGTATACTGATCCCCTAAGTGCAACCACTACACGAGACCGCTGCTTAAGAAAGCCTCCTCATCTCGACAAGACTGAAATACTGTTGGTGCAAGGTTCCTCTCTCAGAGATACACTAAGTAGAAAAGGGGCCGCGATCCAAATTTCCGGTGGCTACTGCCCACGAGCCGAGCCTCAATTACCCTGTGGAGATATGACTAAACCCTAATATGTAAAGCTTTTAGCTTCCGTATTCTAACCCCAATTTCTGCGTAACACGGAACATAGGATTGCTACAATAGGCTCCTCCCAAACTCGTGAACAATATGCCCTAAAATTTGCATGTCAGCACCAAAATTAGAAATTTTAAAGGGGATGGTACCTTGCTATGCGGGGACCAAACGGATAACATAAGCTATGATCTGAAACATCCGAGGTCGACCCTGTAACTGTGTTTGTCGATCAAGGAGCCAAGAAAGTGATGCAAAGAACCCATTGAGCTTCCACAAAATAATCCCTCGCCCTGTTGCACGTTATGCCAAGTATACCGAAGCCCAGTGAAAGAACCCCAATCAACTCAGGCATCATGGATACATTGGCCAAAATCATCCATATAACCATACCACCCGATCAGCCAACCCACTCTGTGCAGAGGCTCCCAAGATGCATTAAAATCACCCAAACACAAGCCATGGGAGCTCCTCTGAATCTACACTGCCGACTGATCCCTAGAGAAATCCACAGATTGCGGCGATTCCCAGGGTCATTAAACCATACACAAAAGTACCCAAATGAGAACCCCTCAGAAAATGTGAGATTAACCCTGCAAGTAATCTCTGAAGAGGCAATGAAGACTATGCCAAAAGTAAAGGAGAGTCCCACATACCAAAACAAACACGGCAAGCAATAGAATCTGTCGACATTCGATAAAAACTGCCAGCGAAGGACAAAAGACGAGACTTGACTGTAAATGAGACTAGCTCAACCTTACTCCAACAAACCAATCAACCCAAAAGGATCCAGAAAAATCCAATTCACAGACACACGCGTTGATTTGCCAAGAAGCCGGTTAGGCCTCTAAATATTCCAACTCCCTAATCATTAGGAACTGGAAGAACCCAGGCTACGAAATCACTTGAGTCGAAGCCCCCGCTTTCCCTGACCTATCCCCTTTGCCAGGGGTGGCAAGGAAACTGATCCAGATAAGGTGGCATCTGGTGTCTGGAGATCATCACTATGCAGAACAAGCGAGGCAAACCTGTTGGAAGAGGTAGATTGCCTACTCCCAGAACTCATAAAGGACTGAGTGTTTTCTGTGCAATTTGTAAATCCCATAATACGGTCTTGCTCATCCTCAATAGGGAAAGGGGAATCCGGTTCCGACCCCGATTCAGAGCCAGAAAATTCACCTCTGCTAGCACGAACAGTCTACTGATACGGGACCAAAGCCAAAGAAGTATCCCCAACTCTAACTATACTCGGAACTGAAACTGTAGATGGCACTACAACATCCCTCTCCATCCCCCGGTCTCTCTCCCTAATGGGATCAATAGTGGCTGACTGCTTCAAAGGCTCGCAGTTCTCAGATTGCACTACTTTCCCTGGTACCTTCTGGAAACTTGTAACTGTCTTATTCTTACCCTGATTTGTAGCTGCAGTAGGTACCTCTGGCTGGTGACAAACATGACCAAAACACAGCATTTAGGGCACCTCTTGGGGGTCCACTCATATTCCACTGTAATCTGAATAGGCTCTGCAGATAACCGGCACTGAAATTCAATATGACGTCTTAGAGGCTTTGCTGCATCTAACTCAACACATACCCGAGCATAATCCAAACGGGTCCGCTCTGATGTTGTCTTATCACTAGACAACGGTCGACCTAACATAGAGGAAACCATGCAGAGTCCTTTGTGGGACCACAAGGGATAGGGCAAACCATGCAAACAAGCCCATACCGAAACGTTAGTGATGCGGCTTTTATCAAAAATAAACTCAGCATGCCATTGTTGCAAAATAATAGACTTACCCCCAAACATCCACGACCCTCTCTCAAGGATCGAATGCACCGCATCCTCATCCTTAAATCTGAACATGTAAAAACCAGTGCCTGTGGACATAACCTCTTCCAACCCCGCAGCTTCCCATGCATAGAAAACAATTGAGCGGACAGCATGAAAAGGCATAGAGTACCCCGGGAAATAACCCACAATGCAGCGAAGCCATTCAACATCATTGTCATCAATAACATCATTCGGTATAAGTAAGATGTCATCCTTAATATCAAGGTCCACAACTTCAAGGGTGAAATGGGACCCAACCTCTGTCACTCTAACCTTATCTGCCCAAGAAGAGGACACTCCTGAGGTGCTCTTACCCATACTTTTCTTCTCTACAACTGGCTTAGGGACTGGCTTTTGTTCACGGGCCCCAGAAGACGCCCAATTAAGCTTGAAAAGCTTCGTGGACTTCTGCATTTTTAAGCCATGAAAAGATTGCAATGTCGAACCTACAATATCGTTAGATTCAAACTCAAGAAAACCAAAGGAAGAGTTTTTGTGATGAAAAACCTTGGCTCCATGAATCGCCACCATTGAGAAAACGGATAACAAATACTTGTCATCCATCCATGG